ATTTTAAACTTATTTGACAACCTTATGAATTAGGTTTAATAAAAATAAATCCATAAGATACTGATGTACAAGTAACAGTTGCTGGCATAATGCGCCATTGCTTTATTCTTTAGTTTTTATAGAAAGTTGCACGGAATCACGGCCAGGAACACGTTAAGTTCCAAGACAGTACCGTTGTCAGAAACATTTAAAGTTAAGCACTAATAATGGCTCGTTGTCATGAAAATACAGGTAAGGTTATGACAAAAACTGTCCGGTGTCATTACTTTAGATGACAGGTCGTGAGCAGTTTTTCATTTTTTAAGTTAAATAATTTCAACCAAAGTCTGAAATTGCAATGGGGAACAGGACTGACACCCCTTTTGGTGTTGTATGAATTTCAGCCGTTAAAATGAAGTAATAAAAGAGGAGTTTGCGTTGGCGATATTAAACCCTGGTGAAATCAAACGTGGATTTCATTCATTTTCCTTCAGAGATGTTATATTTTTTTTAATTAGAATATCATATATATACCAATTGATGCAGTCAGTATCAAGACATGTTATAAGCATTTACGGGAAAAAATAAAACAAATTAAAACTGAAATATTTGATTTATTATAATTTATATCCGTTGTCATGACAAGATATGAAAATTCAGTCCGTTGTCATCGGTCCGTTGTCGCTACTTTACTGTACGTATACATGTACACTATGAAGGAGGTCGATTTTAGTTTTTTTAATGCTTTGATAAATTTCAGACATGCCTTCAATAAATGGGTGAAATAATTAGTCATAAGAAACTAAACGTATGCTATTTTCTATATTTCATATAAAATATGCTCGCTAACTCTCGATTCCTGCCTACATTTTGCACTCATTTTGTTTAATATTAATGGCAATTTGGCCATTAAATCGTTTTTAATACAAAGAACAGTTAAGTTGTAATTGATGAATTGTTTTGATACCAGCGCTAAATAGTGAATTATCCCTATTTCAAGCTCTTAAAAAGGGGGAGGGGGAGTCCGGGGTAGACAATATTCTCCATTGAAAGATCACCATATTTTGAAATAGTCTTGGATATGATTAAATGTTCCTAGTATATTTTCTTATGTTTTCGGCAAAGAAATTATAAAAATAAATGTATCAATGAAATGTAATGTTTCAGTTGAAAATCGCTTCGAAATTGGTGAAAAAAATAAGCATTTAAATATCAGCCTGACAATGCTTAAAAAATAACCAAACACAGATATGCAGTTTTGTCGATTATTTCATTCACTTGAATGGCATAAAGTAAAATCATAATAAACCATGAAGGGGGATCACCTGATATTAAACAAAACAAGATAAAACATGAACATAGATGCATGAAAGGTACAAGTGTTATCCCCCTGAGACTGACTAGAAATTTACATGCAGTGAAAATATCAGTTTACATGTAAAAATGCATAAAATATAACATAAATGAGTTTATCCTTGAAGGCGTCCAAACCATTGCACCAATCCCAGATTACAAGTTGAAAATACAAATTTTGACCAGAATGCAAAATAATACAAAAATGAACCCATAAAAAGGATGGGTGGAGGGTTTTTTCCATCGCACTAACAGGGTAACAGAAATGGCGCAACAAAAACAAAGACTTTTTTTTCGATTAAAAAAATCCGTAACCATGGTAACTATCCGATGGTTTAAGATTTAATAGATTTCTCATAGCTGCATAAATTGAATTATCTGTGATAAATTTTATTTCTTGTTTTTTGTCATTTTTTGTCTATAAACATATCTATGATAATATTGTTTTTGTCGTTGTTTGTCTATAAAGTATACAAATCCCCCCTCCCCTTGAAACACAAAAAGCTTTGGTTTGAATTTTTGAAGAAGAAAAAAGTAGTCCATATCACCTGTAAAAATGAATTTTTGTTTCACGGGGGGGGGGGGTATTTTCCATTTTTCGTTGATTTCCTTTATGAAAAACAAAAGTTTTACCAAATTTTTATAGTTATCTCTCTTTGTTTTCCCAAATAAGTAATGTTTTATGAAAATTTATATAATAATCTATAAAAAAGGATATTAAAAATCCTTCGAATATGTTAACTTTTGAAAATTATAACTTGGCGGTAGGCGGAAAAACAATATGTATTCAAATATTATATTATCTGTTATTATATATATTATATTATTTTTATCATTACAAACGTTAATTTAAGAACTTATATCTCAAAGTAAAAGATTCCAGTCATTGGTTCATATTTCTCTTCATTTTGAATAAATTTCCTTGCCTATTCAAAAAATTCATTTAGGAGTGATCTTCCCCTGTCTACCGTTTACACCTACTGTGTGCCCCTTGTTTTGATTGGGAAATGTACCGGGAAAAATCCGTCAATGTATAAAAATGGCCTAATAATTACTATGAAAAACGTCAGTCAGCATTTGACTCCATGATAAATTGTATTTGCTGACAAGATCATTGCTTCGACCAAGGAACGTTTGAAATTATGACTTTCTAAAACAAGACCTTTAATATTCTTGTTTCAGCCACTTGTTTGTCAATAATTTAATACGTATTAAAAATTTCTGTATTTTTAAGTTCGTGTAGATCCAATATTTTATTTTTGTTTTACTGATAATATTTCAGGAATTGTTATACTTTTGCACTCTATATATTAAAAAGCATCAGAGAATGGTAAGCACGTTCGGGTATATACACTACTCCTAAGACGACCCCCCAAAAGATTCAAAATTTTCTGCAATATGCTCTCTCTTTCTTAAGAGTACATATACATTTGATCATTTTTGTTATATACGTATTTATTGATCAGTCTGACTAAACCCAGCCCTTACTATTTCACTTCTAACAAAGTGAAATAGGGACTAGCTTTAGTCAGACTGTTTTATTGATAAACTTATATGTTAAGAAACAGACACCGGACTAGAAAAACTTAACATGTACTGACAACGGACATTTTGCTTTAAAATTGCGATTTCTTAAAATCTTTTATAAAGAATAGACTGTCAGTTGCCTAACACATGTAAAATTAAGTTTTTCTACATATTTCAAAATAAAAGGACCATTTTGATAAATTTTACGTAAGAAATATTAAATTTTCAGGCTGACGATCATGACTTCACATATTGGCATGTGATTGCCAACGCAAACTCCTCTTTTATTACTTCATTTTAACGGCTGAAATTCATACAACACCAAAAGGGGTGTCAGTCCTGTTCCCCATTGCAATTTCAGACATTGGTTGAAATTATTTAACTTAAAAAATGAAAAACTGCTCACGACCCGTTTTCTGAAGTAATGACACCGGACAGTTTTTGTCATAACCTTACCTGTATTTTCATGACAACGAGCCATTTTTAGTGCTTAACTTTAAATGTTTCTGACAACGGTACTGTCTTGGAACTTAACGTGTTCCTGGCCGTGGGAATACCCGATTTCGCGGATTCAATGATACCCTAATATCGAGTATTATACGCGATTTCAAGGATTATACCCGATTTCGAGTATTCTCTCCGACCTGTTGAATAGTGATGCAATTGAATTGCTTATATCATTATGTAAAAGCATATGAAGTTTAACACTAATGTAAGAAAAGTGAGGTCAAGGACAAAGGAAAGACCAAGGTCTAAAAATGTTGATGCAATTAAAAAGCTTTCATCAGTATGTATGCATAATTATGCATGCATAATTATGTTGTTGAAAAAAGAAATGTAATTATGAATGGTTTCTTTAAAACTGACTTAATCACAGTATGATAAAAGTGAGGTCAATGTCAAAGGAAAGGTCAAGGTATAAAAAGTTGATGCAGTTGATAAGCTTGCATCAATATGCATCAGCATATGAAGTTTGACATTAATTTAGGAAAAGTGAAGTCAAGGTCAAAGGAAAAGTCAAGGTGAAATGTTGATACAGTGATGAACAATCTATGTGTAAAGTAGATTATTATGTTCCTCCATTTAGAAAGATATGGACCTGACATGTTTGCACAGACAGACAGACTGACAGACAAGCTGATTCCTATAACACCCCCCCCCACAACTTCATTTGCAGGATGTATAATTATGTACTTAGTTTATTTAATGCCCAGATGCAGAGAGGAAGATTTTCAAAGAATTAATGCAATTTAACGATATAATCAATAGAGCCCCACCCTAACACCAGAACACCTGACCCTGAGGCTATAAAATTCACAATTTTGGTAGAGGCACTCTTGTTCAGCAGAACTATGTACTTAATTAGTTTATCTAATACCTAGGAGCAGAGAAGATTTTCAAAGAAATATATATTTCCACTATATAATCTATATAGCCCCACCCTAGCACTTGAACCCCTGACCCTGGGGCCATGAATTTCACAATTTTGGTAGGGGACTTAATGCTTATTGCATTCATTCCAACAGTTTGACTGCTTGATGTCCACGAGTAAATAAGAAGATTTTTAAAGATTTCATTAATTTTAGTAGTTTTTGCCCCACCCCTCAGGCCCCGGGGGAGGGGGGGGGGGGGTGGGTAGGTCGGGACCATAAAATTCATGATTTTTGTTCCCCTTCACCCACAGATGCTGCATACTGAACTTGGTTGAAATTGGTTCCGTGGTTTCAGATAAGAAGCTGAAAATATTCAAATGTTATCACACGACGACGGACAAAAATGGATAGCAATAGGTCACCTGAGTGACTCAGGTCACCTAAGAAAACGATATCAGAAAAAAGTGTTCCCCCTTCTTGTACAGAAAAATATTCAAGATGTCAGAATGTGGTTATTTGAAGATCTGGGTCATATAATAAGTTCTGTTGAAATTAGGAAGATTCCTATTAGACATTTCCAGAGTTCGAGTGTTAGAGACACACACTAGTCTAAACACAGCACTGGTTCATTGTAGATTTCTAAATGCATGAGAAAGATTTAATCAATAATGAAAACTGTAGTTTTCTTACTAAGCATAATTTTTCCTCATAACCTTACACTTTTTCACCATGTTTGATTTCTCAAGCAGAAGTAGTGACAATCAACTGTAAAACTTTTTACAACATTTATTATTGAAAAAATAAATACAATGTACAATTTAATATTTATCACAATTTATTAAACAGATCAAAATAACATTAGTACAGCTGTACTACTGTACAATATGTTGATAACACAAGGAAACTAAAAGAGGAATATTCTGGTCTGTAACAAAACCCATAAGGCCAGTATATCCACCACAAAATCAAATTGTAAATAGGAATGTACTTCATGTACTTCAAATTAATTCCAACCCTATCCACTAATCACTTGTATTACATGTATATATGAGTCAACACATGTATTGCTCTCTCTGTTTCAGGTAAACTGATACCAAACAAATGATGCATAGCTTAAATCCTAGTTTCCCCCATGTCATGAAGACTGCTGAATACACTACAGCCTGCTCATTCACATTACATTTAGTTCTGTACAGTGTATCTACTAAATATAACACACATTGACAATATTCCTCTGTGTTGAAGGCTGTTGATATCCATCCATTTTATATAGTACACATTCCCAATTGTTTAACTGTTTATTTAAAGGTTGCTAAAGGTTCCCCCGTCCCCATTTTATCACATTAGTTAACGTTAGTTCTACTGTATCTGTGTGACGGCGGTTACAGGACTAGAGCTGTTGATGCACCCCCCCCACCCATTTATCACATTAGTTCTACTGTATCTGTGCTATGGTTACAGGACTGGAGCTGCTGATGTCTAAGAAGAATGGTCCCTCCTGACTGGGTAGGAAAGTACTGGGCATGATGTTATAGATCCCTCCAGAGATTCTGTCTAACTGTAGAACACAGTAACCATTCCTGTCAACAGAAATTGTATAACATTATCATAGATCCCTCCCAAGATTGTATAACATTATCATAGATCCCTCCCGAGATTGTATAACATTATCATAGATCGCTCCCGAGATTGTATAACATTATCATAGATCCCTCCCGAGATTGTATAACATTATCATAGATCCCTTCAGAGATTGTTTAAGGTATGAAGCTAATTTCAACTTATGTCATACGATATAACATAACTTGGGGCAGTGTACGTGCCCCTACACTGCCGGGTAACAAGTTACCAACATATGTATAACATAAGTTGAAATTAGAACTTAACCATTACTTATAATTTAATTTCAGTGTAGACAATGAGACAATTTTTTTCCGGAAAAAAGGCTTCAAATATAGCATAATTTAAAAGTAACGTCAAGCGGAGTAATACGTTTTTGACGTAACTCATTGTGACGTAGGCAAGTTATGTTATCTAAAATATTAAATGTTCCTCTGAAAGATTCAGCCAATGAAATTGTTTGATACAAGTGAAATTAGATTATATAACATTATCATAGATCCCTCCCGAGACTGTATAACATTATCATAGATCCCTCCAGAGATTATGTCTACTGTATGTATACATGACGGATCAATCTCACTACTTCTTGAGTAAGCCAGTGGGCTGTTTCTTGAGAGGTTCATTTTGTCACATTTACTTGAATTATCTTAAGCTTGGCTTGGTCTTGGTGAGTTTACCTGTAATCTCCTGAACTGGTTCTCTTGAATTGGCCTAGTGCCCCGGGAACATTTTCGGACACACATGTCACCTCAAAACCAACACTGTACTGTCTGAAAGTAATCCAATCGTACATTGTCATTGGCAGTTCTACTATAATTTATCTACCTGTTAGAAGAAAGGAATATTTTATGTAAGGAAGTAATACCATGGTATCATTGGGAATTCTAGTCAGCTATATATGAGATCGTACTGACTTATGACTTAGAAGGTCAAAGAAATTATTACCTTCTATATGTCACTCTGATCAATTAGTTTTTTTAGGCTCATACTGTATCTGTTTTAGGCTAAGTTGTTTCCCGGAGTACTGTTTGTCTGATGATCAAGTTATCAATAAGTTATCTTTTAAGTAATCAGTTGTCTGTCAAGTTAACTTGTTATTTTGATTTATTTTAATACTGACTTTGGCCCAAAGCAGTAGATCCAGCAGTATACAGTTATCTGTGTGGTTAGTTATTTTGAGTTTATACTGACTTTGGCCCCAGTAGTTCCAGTAGTATACAGTTATCTGTGTGGTTAACTAGTTATTTTGAGTTATTTATACTGACTTTGGCCCCAGTAGCTCCAGCAGTATACAGTTATCTGTGTGGTTAACTAGTTATTTTGAGTTATCTATTACTGACTTTGGTCCCAGTAGCTCCAGCAGTATATAGTTATCTGTGTAGTTAGTTATTTTGAGTTATCTATTACTGACTTTGGCCCCAGTAGTTCCAGTAGTATACAGTTATCTGTGTAGTTAACTAGTTATTTTGAGTTATCTATACTGACTTTGGCCCCAGTAGTTCCAGTAGTATACAGTTATCTGTATAGTTAACTAGTTATTTTGAGTTATCTATACTGACTTTGGCCCCAGTAGCTCCAGCAGTATACAGTTATCTGTGTAGTTAACTAATTTTTTAGTTATCTATACTGACTTTGGCCCCAGTAGTTCCAGCAGTATACAGTTATCTGTGTGGTTAGTTATTTTGAGTTATCTATTACTGACTTTGGCCCCAGTAGCTCCAGCAGTATACAGTTATCTGTCTGGTTATTGTCCAGTTTGATCTGGTAGATGGGGTTGTTCTGGTGGCTGTCCCGGTAATTACCACAACCTCCCGCGGTCCGGCCCTTCCACTGACCGTTCATCTGACAACAAAATCGAACACAGCTGTAAATTGTCTCTCTATATGAAAGGTTCTTGAAATTGTCTCTTGTGTCAATGTTTAGATTGAATTTGTCTTTCTACATAAAAGTTACTTGAAATTTAATAAATGGAAATTGAAATTTAAGATTGGGCTCAGTTCAAATGTCTTTCAAAATTCTTTTTAATACAAAAACATAAGAATAACACAAAAATTTCAACTTGACTTGCCCTTTAAAGCGTACACTTTTTGTGACTTGCCCTTTATAATGTACCCTTTTTTACTTGCCCCTTTTTTCTTACCCTTTTTTCATACTGTTTCTTGTATGGGTCTACAATCTTGGTCAGACTGAATTCACAGGATGAGAACACCCGTAGCGTGTAGTGTATGGTGTTGTTTTTTTCGTACTGTGAGATGACCAGTGTAAATTGCCTGGTTCCCTTCTCCTCCACCATTTTACACAGATAGTGCGGCGTGTTGATTCGGACGCCGTCTTTATAAGGGGGCGGGCTGTAGGGATAGTACACCTTCTTACCCTCGGACTTGTAAACCAGCAGCGTAATAAACTCCTTATTGTCAGCAAAGTCATCCTACAAAAGACCAGTCACTCACATCACAATCATTTCATTAAAACATATTTTGTGAGAATAAATACTGTAGATTGGCAAATAATCACGGTGGTTTTAATTTCACTATGTTCGCAATTTAACATTCTTCCGTGAAATTAAACCCATTGTGAATGCTATTATAAGTTTTAGAAAATGTTTAAATGCTTATACAACATATAAAATTAATTTCTTGCAGCGTGAAATTAAAACTTTATATTATATTGGTCAAATTTTAACACTGTGAATTATCAATGAGGCTTGAAGTATAACCTACAGGTATAATGTATATTCATGCACATGACTTCTTAAAATTTCTTCCTCAAAGTGTGTTATGAGTGAGGCTTGAAATATAACTACAGAGATACTTTCTACAAAAATTCTTTCTAATATACTTTCAAATTACTAATTTCTAGATGGTATTGTGGATTATCACTGATGCATTTAATCTAACCTTGTCTGTGATATGTCGGGTCAGTAGAATCCAGACAGCTGCCGGCTGACTCACCCGGATTTCTAGACGATATTGTGGATTATCACTGATATTATAAGAGTCCCGCCTGGGTCCCTCTTTAGCTGCCCAAGTACTGAAAATTAGAAAATCACATCATATTCAACATACTGAAACACCAATCCTAAACAGAACTCACATAAAAACCAACTGCATCCAAGTACAAAAATATAGACAACAGTCAAATATATCAATCAGATTCAGATACACGTACTGTTAGATTGGTTAGGAGCATCATGTGATATATTTCATGATACACACTTTGGTCCCCCACCAAAATGATGATTCCACAGTACATGTAGTATTAGATGGGTCAAGACCATAATGTGATATATTTCATGATACACAGGGAAGAGATTGCTGATATTGCATATTGCTAACAATTCATTCAGCACTTGCATGGTAACTCTCTCTTGCAAATACTTTTTTTTGTCCCATTAAATCTAACATATGTGTTAGGCATACAGTGGGAGTATAAGAAATCCACCTAAATTTCTACCCGCGATTCAACAGAAAAAGAGATTACGTGGAATTTTGACCCCATGGAAAAAAGTATGTCTACAGTATCTGCGACCAAATTTTTGTCTCACTAAATATTTAACCTATAGGGCACAATCTCATTAAAATTAGATTTAAGATCTGCTTGCAAATTCACTAAACTAACATCTAACAACATCCCATTGAGGGTCAAGTCAAAGGTCAGATTCTATCAACTAATCAAATCGTAGCTTGCAAAATCATTGCACATTGAAGTGAATAAGTCTAGAGTTCTTCCAAATTTGACCTCTGACATGACCCTCTAAGAAATGTTTTTAGATGTCAGTGTAGCGAGTATGCGAGTGAATCTAACATCTTATTTTAATTAGATTGATAGGACATTGCCTCAAACTTACCTGTGAGTGCATGTTGTATATTTAAATAACTCTGGATTCCAGTTTATGTAAATGACATCAAAAAATCTGCATAGGGATTCATAGTCAATCCAAAACACTCCTGTAATTAACAATAAAACAAAATCATAACAGATTATAGCTGCTAAACTTTGATATCTTGAACATTGTTATTTCAAATATCATAGATATGTCAAAGTGAGTTTGAATGACCAGGTATTTTATTTATTTTAACTTCAATATCTGGAATCCTTAGATATCTTGATCAAAAGGATTGGTAGCCAGAAAAACAGAAAACTATAGAAAATATATCTTCATACCATTGTAAGACCGAGTTAAAACCAACAATTATCAAACATATTCATCTGCATGTATAGTGCATGAGCACCAATATACCTTGAAATCTTATGGAGTCCAATAAAGAAATCAAAATTTTTGATTGACAGAAATAAATTTGACAGACAGACAGACAACTTAAGCAGAGTCCCCCTACCATTGTCATATTGCTGAGCACTTTTAGGATCGTAATTTAACAGTTTCTGTAACTCTGGAGTCCAGTTCACCGAATCGTTCTCAGAGAAATGTCCTTTCCACCTTAAGTGGCTCCAGGGTTTTTTTAACATAAAGAGTTTTCTCCCTTTCACTTCCCGAATGTCCAGCATGGCGTAGGCCTGTGTCGGTACGAGTCCAGCACGATCCGCCTCAGCCTCGTGTAGCTCACCAGTCGCTATGGTGATTAAACAGTGTCCTTTGTGAAATCTGTCGTGGATTCGTTTGAATTCTTTCTCTTTATCAAAATCTTCAGAATTGCGTTTTATGGCCACTCTCTCTGGAATCCACCCGGTCAGTGCATGGAGGTCAATATTCTGTAATGTAAATGCAAAAAGGTAATTTATCAGTTCATTCCAATGTGTTTTCAATGCAAAGACTATAAAATAAATGTATCCACTTTAGCACTTAAATATTTTATAATTAATTTGTTACCTATCAACAACATGTATCTGATTGTATCAGGTATGAATTTAAATTGTCAGGTTTCATAATAAAAAATTTTATTTTAAAAGAGAGCTTTTTATTTTAAAATATACACAGTACTGTATTGAAATATCAGTCATAAATAAAAAAGTTTAAATCATCAGGAAGGTTTGCCAATGTCAAATTCTACTGAATCAGATAATTATACACAGATACTGATCAAATCAGATAGTTATACACACGGAGTTGGATCCTGGGAAGTCGTAGCCCCCCATCACTTTCATGTAGGCTTTCTCCAGGAGAGAGATCCACAACTCGTTCTTGTTGTTAGAGAATGAACAGAGAAGTTCTCCATCTCGACCCATCGGGAAAAAGTCATCAATGATCACCTGAAAAAGACAGCATTACAAAATTTAAGTACTGAACAAAGACAGCATTCCAAACATAAGTACTGAACCAAGCTCATTTCAGTGGCTGATCAAAGTTTTACATAGGATTAAATAGTGAAATCTTTTAAAATCGTCTTCTAAAGTACTTCAAATTTATTATATATTATTCAAAGCCATTATATATTTTTAGTGATATTTATATTGAATCATCATCAGGTAGTGTAGATTCTAGTTTGTTCAAATCATATATGTAACCCCCCATGGATAGGGTGGAACTACAAAGGGGGATTCAAGTTTAACATAAAAATATATTTTAAACTTCTTCTTCTCAAGATTAGCAAAACCATGATTGAGTGATACTGGTATTCATATGGAAGCATTTTCGGGTAGTGTAGAATTAAGTTTGTTCAAACCATAACCCCCAAGGGTAGGGCGGGGCCTCAATGCTGGATAAAAGTTTTACATAGAAAAATAAAGGGAAAAATCCCAACAACAAAAAAGCTATGTTTAGTCACATTGACATATAAGCACCCTCATATATTGATTGATTGATTGATTGATTGATTGATTGTATGCTGTTTACCGTCCCTTTCGAGAATTTTTCACTCATATGGAGAGGCAACTACTTGCCGGTGGAGGGCTTCAAATTTTGTCCTATGCTCGGCACTCATGGCCTTTGAGCAGTGAGGGATCTTTTTCGTTCCAGCACCTACTGCGACACGGGGCCTCGGTTTATACGGTCTCATCCTCATATACTGAAGATTAAAATTTATTCAAATCATGGCCATGGCCCTTTGGGGTATGGAAGGGAAACAATGGGGAATCAAATTCAAATCATTATGAAGTTATATATAGGAAGAAAATGCTTTTAAAAAATCTTTTTATCAAGAACAGCAAAGTCATATGCTGTATTAATATGAAGACATTCTCAAGTAGTATTAAATTGAACCCCACCCCCCACCCCCACCCCAGACTTAAGTAAACTTTTCAGTTCTGATCTGATTTGTGCTTTTTCCTAGTCGGTTTGCTCAGGTGAGCGATGTGGCCCCTGGGCCTCTTCAAATTTATTTCTATGTAAAACTTGGATTCCTTATGGTGGCTCAGCCCTAACGTCAGGGGTCATGATTTTGACAATTTAAAATCTACACTACCAAGGACGCTTCCATATAAGTTTCAGCTTTCCTAGCCCAGTTGTTCATGAAAAAACCCCAAGGGTGCTTTGTACCAGGTTTGGTTAAAATTGGCCCAGTGGTTCTTGAGAAGAAATCGAAAATGTAAAAAGTTTACAGACGGACGGACGGACGAAATGTGATCAGAAAAGCTCACTTGAGCTTTCGGCTCTGGTTTGAACTTAGAAAGTGGATTTTTTGTGCGAAAAAGAAAGAGAAAGTGTGAAAAAAGAAAGTGTTTCTCATACTGCATAGTGATCAACATAATATTTTCCTTTTTTTAGTTGAATACTTTTTTTAACGTCTGGCATTTTTAAATATCAAAATTGATGTTAATATTACAACAACTAGAGGTACTGTGAGCGATGAGCTCACTAAATGATACCCCCCGCCTCCATATAGTTATAATTGCAACTTCCATGTTTTGCAGTGGCCAGGAAACCCAAAATATGTGTCGGATCAAAAAGTAAAATAGGAGGTACTCAATGGCAATAGGAAATAAAGATTCTGTGAAAGTTTCATCAAATTTCATTCATTGGTTTGAGAGGAGTTGCGGATAAGAGATGGGTACCCCCAAAGCGTAACAGACGGATTGAAGGACAGACGGACGGAATTAACGATTACTATATACCCTCCCGCTTTTCAAGCGGAGGGTATAAATATGAAGTGTAATATTTCTTATAGGATATATCATTTCATGGAATTCTTATCCAGATCCAGGTATTGTACTTTGTAAGATTAAGACTCATATACGTATGTACATTTTGTTTTATAAGCTGTCTGCTGTGGCTCCTACTGTTGCCCAGAAGGCTTTGTCTGTGGTACATCAGCAGAAATCTGTAGAATACCGGAGGGCAAACAAATCTGGAAAAATTCTGCCAAAATCTTTGTACAGATTATATTGAAGAAAAAGGTCCATGACCTAACATGAAATTGTGCAGCAATAAGCGAAAAGCAATATGAGCTGCATTTTTTAGAATTCTATTTTGCTGCTAAAATGTGTAATATATGACACATCTGTATGTAATATAATCTTTTATGAGCAATTAGACTAAACTGAAGCATTGGATTTTTTAGAAGAAAGATTTTTGTACAATGGAATGTATAGTGTTATGAAAGAAATCAGTATTGTACGGGAGACGATAATGTAATTTTGCTTCAATCAAAGCTTTAACGTAGCTCTTCCATCGCAAACATGAACACAGACGTTTAACGACGATAGCTTAAATTGATCTTTACGTTTGTAACTGACTTTGGGTGCAATGTTTAGAATAATTTTGATCGAAAGCTACAAAAGTGTACGCTAAATATTGAGTTAGTGTATAAAATGAATTCTTGCCAATTAAAGGATATATGTTTTACTTAAATGTTATTACCTTTGAGAAATTATTAATGTATATATATGGCAAAATATAAAAAATACATATGTTTTTTGATTAACCTTACAAAAACGGAATGATATATTAACAGAATTTCTTTTGAAAAATATTGATATAATACATGTATCTATAAAGAAGATAAAAATGATAATATTCTGATTCGAAATATATACCATTTATGATTTATTCACCCATCTCATGATTTCCGTATAACAATTACCTATTTACATGTGTGTATATCAATAGCACCGTACTATGTAACAATAATTTCACCCATCTCATGATTTCCGTATAACAATTACCTTTTTTCATGTGTGTATACCAATAGCACCGTACTATGAGGTAGATTAAACCAGTGGAATAATCATTTAACACAACAAAATTATCAAGAGTTGGTAAAGACGGAACCTTCAGCATTTTCCCGTTCTTACTCACAACACTGACGGACCTTTTTGGCAAAGAAAACTTAAGGTGATCTCCCCGAGAGTTCAGTGAATGTTTCCACACAACCCTGTCCATTGAACCCTGTGATCTCCCAGAGGGTTCAGTCACTTTCAGCTACCAGAAAATCCATTATTTTTTCTTTCCAAAGACTGCTTCTTTTTTCACCCTCTTTAGATCTTCCTTTGAATGAGCTAACTGTTCTTTAAGATGTTCTATCTCCCTTTCTTTCTCCTGAAGAATATGATCTTTGGACATGTTTTCTCTTTTGAACTTTTCGAATTCTGACTCGACATTTTTCTTCTCACATGTACATGACAATGCATATTTATACCCCCCGCTTGAAAAGCGAGAGGGTATATAGTAATCGTTAATTCCGTCCGTCTGTACGTCTGTCCGTCCTTCCGTCTGTCTGTCCGTCCGTCCGTCTGTTACGCTTTGGGGTACCCATCTCTTATCCGCAACTCCTCTCATACCACTGAATGAAACATGATGAAACTTTCACAGAATCTTTATTACATATTGCCATTGTGCACCTCCTATTTTGCTTTTTGATCCGACACATATTTTGGGTTTCCCGGGCACAGCAAAACATGGACTTTGTCATCAGTTATAACCATATTGGAGGCGGGGGTATCATTTAGTGAGCTCATTGCTCACAGTACCTCTAGGTTTGAAATATTTTAATACGGTGACTTTCGTTTCACAAAAGCTGCTTATAAAATTCAAGAAGTTGTTGGTTTTATAATGCATTTTCACCCATATCATGTATAACCTGAACACCCCCACCCTCGATTATAATGTACAATTAATATTGCGAATAAAATTACTTAATATAGACAAGCAGAGAGAGAAAGAGAGGGTGTGTGAGGGGAGAGAGAGAAAAAAGAAAGTGTGAGCTTGGTGTAATTTGGTATGATCAAAAGGATCGCCACGTATCATCGTTTTTGAAAGGGAGGGGCAGCCAAAGAAAAAATATTGTGATTTACCTGAAAACTTGACAAGCAAAACAAACTAAAAAAAATTGCACAAACTCGAAAATCCTATTTTGTGGGGGTTAGGGGTGGGATGGGGTTTGTAGAGGCCAACTTTTTTCAATGCCAGCGTCTTTCAGTAACAATTCTTTTCTGCATTCAAAACTACATATCACTGATATCAACTACCTGTAGTATATAGTGGGGGGGGGGGCAGCCTTTCAATGAACATTACCAATAGTAAAAGTAATGTTGGGAAACAAAGTGGGGGGTTGGGCAGTCCCCCTCCCCCCCCCTTGCCCACCTTATTGCTACGTGACTGAGAATTACGGGATATCAGCAGTAATCTCCTTTGGAATTTTCAACATCTTGTGACTTCAAGGGAAAAACAGGTACATATGTACATTTGTTATACCTTTAGAAATTTGATCCTATACAATTCTATACAAAAAAGTCTAACATTTTTAATGTTTTGCTGAGCGGGCATAAACAAAATCGATGTTGGACCGCTGAGTGAGATGTTGGACCGCTCGGAGAGATGTTGGACCGCTTACGTCACAGAGTGGGCGGATCTTAATCTCATTTTCATTCGCTGGTGTTAAACAGTGATAGATCTGATGTTACATCACGGAATTAAGTACAAAATACATGTAAATATATAAAATAAAATAAAATAAAATGAAAGGTATAACAAAACATTTATTGACAGAGTTCTCGGGCAAAATGCGTTTTGTCGAACTGTGTAACTGATGACAAAGTCCATGTTTTACTGTGGTTGGGAAACCCAAAATATGTGTCGTATCAAATAGTAAAATAGGAGGTGCACAATGGCAATATGTAATAAAGATTCTGTGAAAGTTTCATTAAATTTCACTCAATGTTTAAGAGGAGTTGCGGATAAGGGATGGGTACCCTAAAGCGTAACAGACGGGCGGACGGACATACAGACGGACGGACGGAATTAACGATTACTATATACCCTCCAGCTTTTCAAGCGGGGGGTATAAAGAGAGCTAGATGGGACCAGGTCCCAGATGGAATAAGTAATCATTCATTCAAAGATAATAAATTAAAGCAGCCGGATCCTTGTTGTCATGAAGGAGTAAAGGGAAATAACTGAAGTCAATTTAGTACGTGTGAAAAATAATGCTCTAACAGTCTGAATTTAAAAAAAAATAATCTGCATTAGACTTAATGATGGATCTTATTTGCTGATAATTATTAAGGTCATTATATCGACTATAGAAATGACAAAGTTGATGATATCCCGGCATCGGCAACTTATTTGCCTGTCTCTCATTTTAGAAATTGTTTGCATGTAAAACACGCTTTTACGGATCCCATCAACCGGCATACATAAATTCAATATGCAGGTGACAATTTTATTTACTTGTCAGTGGTCATTTGCTTTATTTTGTCAAAAAATATTCTGATTATATACACAAGTATTCGGAGTTGATATCAAAAGGATGGTTGAGTTTCTAATTGACAATATGTATATGTGGCTTTTGAAGACCGGGTCTTCCAACAATTTACTGGTGTCCCATGGGTACCGATTTTGCCCCGTTCTTAGCAGACCTATTTTTGTATTCATGTGAAGCATATTTTTTCAGCTGCAATCTGTAGCGTTATGGTTTTTATATATTTGTCTTTGACCATAACGCTACAGATCCCGTAATGCAAAAAAGGTGCAATCTACGGCGCCATATTTTTTGCGCACTTTTGGGGAGAATTTCTCCACCTTCCAGCAACGGTCAATTAACTTCCTTTCACTCCCTATTTCTAGGCACATTATTTAACTAATCTGTATATTTTATCCATCTCCCAACCCTTTATAGTCGTCTCTACAAGTGATAAACTCGCTTGATTAAAATTATTTGTTAGATTGCTGAAAATTCACTTCAAGCGAGTTTATTACTTCAATCTTCGTGATATTTTTTTTTTGAAGTTGGTAAAGTTTAATTGAGATTTTTTTATTCATCTTCATGTTTGTCATGCTATAGGCTTTTCGTTCGTCATGTTCACCAATCACCTGCAGTAATCCTGTAAAGATATGACAAACCAGACAATATGTATTGACAGGAATCCTTGAACCTTTTATGAAACAGGACCAAAGCTTAGTATGGCGTTATTATTACCCTAAATTTTATACTTCGAGTACAATCACTGAAAGGTCAAGGTTACAGAGGTCAACCAACAAAAATTCCAATAAGAAACCCAAAGATCTGTGGGCGGAAGCACACAGTGATTACTTTTATAAGGTACATTTATACGCATATCTTTGTGGGGCCCAGCAACACATTTTATAAAGATGTGACGTTATGCTACAGCAAATTTTAAAGTCTTGATATCTATTTATTCAACATGACTATGTTGTTCCTTAATGTTCTTAATTTAATCAAACTAAGTGAAAAGCTGTCATTAACTTCATTAAAAGTTCAATTAATATTTAAAAATCTAGAACATATTGCTCAGCTTATGTTGTGATGTTTTAGGAATGGCACAAGAAAAGACATTGCAGCATAATTAATTAATTATAATTCATAACTTGTTTGTTAATTAATTTAGGAGAATACAACATGTATGTACAACTAGAACTGTCCAAACGGGACAAAATACCCCCCGCAGGGTTTTTCAGAGGTTCCAAATCATAAATATTCTATGGATATAAGAGAAGAGAGAAATTCTTAAACCTTTTTAGTGCAATGTAAATGCTCATATTCTTTATGAATGAAACGACGGTGCAGCCTAATAAAAAAAATGAAGACTAAAGATACAGACTTACACGAATTACGAAGTTTTATGAACTCAAAGTCATGAAACAACCTCCGGTCATAAGCAATCTTTGTGTAAAATGGGAACTCACTTACGTTTATCCATAAGGCAGATATGGACCGAACATGAATTATGAATTTTTTTCCTGTCAGTGTCCTTGAACTTGCACAAATGACCTTGGGTCAAAGTCACGACACAACCTCAGGTCATAAGGAATATTTGTATAAAATGGGAACTCACCACGTTTATCCATAAGACAGATATGGACCGGACATGAATTATGAATTTTTTTCCTGTCAGTGTCCTTGAACTTGCACAAATGACCTTGGGTCAAAGTCATGACACACCCTCAGGTCATAAGCAATCTTTGTGTAAATGAGGAAGACAAAAACAATCTTTGTTTTTCCATAAGAAAGATATGTGCCAAACATGAATTATGAACTTGTACGTACCATACATGTATTATTAAATTTTCTTTCAGTGACTTTGAACTTACAGAGATGACCTTGGGTCAAGGTCATGACACACCCTTAGGTCATGAGCAGTCTTTGTGTGCAATAGGAACTTAAAATTTTCACTGTATTATCAATAGAGTCCCACACTATATAATCTATGTAGCCCCATCCTAGCATTAAAACCCCTGACCCCAGGGCCATGAATTTTTTTTCCAGAGAAATCAATGCTCATTACAATCATACCAACAGTTTGACTGCTTGATGTCCAGGAGTAAAGGAGAAGATTTTTAAAGATTTCATTAATTTTAGTGGTTTTTGCCCCACCTCTCAGGCCCCAGGCGGGACCATAAATTTCACAATTTTTGTTCCCATTCACCCATAGATGCTACATGATACAAACGTGGTTGAAATTGGTTCCATTTTTTCAGAGAAGAAGCTGAAAATGTTCAATGTTTAAAACACACGACGAACGATGGACGACGAAAACAATAGGTCACCTGAGTGAATCAGGTGACCTAAAAAACGATACTCAGAAAAAAGTACCCCTTTCTTGCATAGAAAAATATTTAAGATGTCAGAATGTGGTTATTTAAAGATCTGTGTCATACAATAAGTTCTTCTAGAATTAAGATTACTATTCGTTAACTGCATGTGCTAGAGACACACACTAGTCTAAAGATAGCACTGATTAACTTGGTTTCTCCTAAATGCACAAGAAATTAAGATTTAATCAATAATGTAAACTGTAGCTTTCTTATGAAGCGTAATTTTTCCTCATAACCTTACACTATTTCACCATGTTTGATTTCTCAAGCAGAAGGAGTGACAATCAACTGTAAGACTTCTTACAACATTTATTATTGAAAAAATTAAATAAATACGATGTACAATTTAATATGGATCACAATTTATTAAACAGATCAAAATAAGATAAGTACAGCTGTACTATTGTACAATATGTTGATGATACAAGGAAACTGTAAAGAGGAATATTTAGGTCTGTAACAATACCCATTAAAAAAAATAACAAAGTCAGTACACTGTATCCACCCTATCAAATGGATCCACATGTACTTCAAATTATTCAAAACGATTAACAATGGGAAAAGTATCGCTACTCAGATTCGTTGTTCCATTATACCACTGGTAACTGGTTTTATGTCAAAATCTAAACAAAATAAAAAAAGCAGTGGAGCTATTGGGAATGGAAAGACAAGATTACATTGGCACAGTAAAAGACGCTTTTAGCAAAACACACTGATAATTAATTCATGTCAGTTGACACTTACAGAGAAGTGACTTTAAAATATAATGAATAAGGAAGCAATTTGTTATAGGAGCTAGTGTTTTACTGTTTGGATTACTAAGTCAATTTTGAAAGGCTAAACTATATCTTATCATAAATAATTACATCATTAAGTAATTCCTCCATGCGTATGGATGGAATTATACACAAATATAACGTATGCAGTATTAACGAAGTTATGAATGTTTTTTTTTTACATTATACTTGTTTTTCAAGTCATGCGTAAAAATGCGTATATGCCATGTAAGGGTTACTATGAAGAGACTGTAAAATACCCCATGGCTATCCTTCAATTCCATATATAAATCATTTTGGCAATTAAAACAACTCACAATATATCCAAACCATAGGTTTCCCTATATTTTTTAAAAATTTGGCCAGTACTTGACCTGAAATTATCCTCTGCCATTTGTTTATTAGTTGACATATCTCGTACACTAAAGTTGGTTTGCTGTCATTATAATATCCTGTATTCTCTTCAATGTCACAGTTTGTATTCCACAGCGTGGTGTTTGTCTGAGAGATTGTTGGTATGAGAATAGAGCAGCCTGGAGGTTTCCTGTGATCTGTTGACAAATCCCTAAGATCTGCCATGATATGTCTTTGTATTCTTCAAGGTCAAAGTGGACAACGTCATGTAGATCATTCAGAGCCCTTTGTGCTCTTATTGAATCAGTATGAATGGCGCACAAGAACTCTAGCATGTATAACAACACCAATGGGGGAATGCACAGATTATCACTTCGCTTTAATACGGACTGTTCTGGTATTAATTCGTTCATGTAATAGTAGCAAGAGTGAAGGTTGATGTTAACTGGTGTAATATGCATTAGCACAGAGGAAAACTTTCCTCTTGCAAGCTGACAAAATCTCTCTAGCCATACCAGTATATTGTTAAACATCGCATATGACTGAGCAAACTTGGTTTTTGTCAGCTCTATAATAGATAGTGCTTTCATGTATCTGGATGTATGAAAAAAACGCATAGCTAAGTACAACGTGTCAGAAAAACACCCAAACTTGGCTGCTAGGCTCAGCATGTGACAGGACATTTTGTCGACTCTATACATCAGTTTGTTGGCACCTGTGTCAGTCAACCTGTAGAATATTAGAAATGGAATTCTATGGAAACAGAGAGCTGCTACTCTCTGTAACCAAACAGCTTGATACTGTGTCAGTGGAAAACCTATTAAATGTTCTACTGTTTCTAGACTCACAATACCTCCAGATTGGATAGGAAGGCTTACAAATTGACTGTTATATATCTCCTTCATAAAATCCAAATGAAGAAACATCGCTGTCTCTAAATTTTCAAAGGTAGACTGTCTAGGATTGAATTCATCAGTACAGATATACTGCCTAGGATTATAGAAGACCTTTATAACATAGGGTCTGATGGTGGGACTGGAAAGCAGGCAAGCTAATCCTTTCTCATATAATTCATAAAGTCTACTGAATGGAAGCCGCTGTGCTACACCGTGTATGTTACTAAGAAACATATTGTTTTCTGGAATGAAAAAATTAGGACAAACTCCCTCGTACACCCATCGAAGGAGAAGTTTAAAGCAGACCCAGAAACCCTCGAGAAGAGTTTGTGGATACCAGTGAGGTATTGCTTTTTGTTGAATCACCCAGAAAACTGCCGTCTTCATGTGATATGAACATAATAATTTATCATGTGTAGCAATTCCACTGTTGATTATTTCTTTTAGGAAAATTTTGAGCAAACCATAAGTTAGAAATTGACTGTGGTTCATTGAATATACTAGTTTTTGTTCTGCTTGAGAAAAAGAAATTCTCCATTCGTGGTCTTTAAGACGTCCTAATTTGTGTCCTATAGCTACAAAGTGACATCCATTTTTTACTATATCTTCAACAACATGAGGTTGGGGCCATGAATGACATCTGTCTATCCAAGAGGAGGCAGATGGAGGCCAAAAACTGCATTGAACACACAGGGCCATATCAAATTCTGCGCCTCCAACGTAGGTATTGATACAGGGACCATGTTCTGTGCCCCTTTGTAAAAATGCCCCAAAAAATTGCTTGTATTTAGAACTGGATATATAGATATTGTTATTTATTTTGAACCCAGCAAACAAGTATTTTTTATATAAGTTAGTGAGTCCACCTGTCATATTTCTTATTAAATTAATCCTCAGTAAAGTGTATCCAGGAGGACTTTCAGAACTGTCACAGAGAAGGAGAAAGATTTCGCCTAACTCATAATTCTGAGCTTGATCTATGTCCCAGACAACATAAGCATTGTTGGGAAATGGCATGATGTCTACATCCGATCCCTCCAGTCTGAATCCTTCGCGATGACTTCCACTCACTATCATACTGCAAGCAGATTTAGCTAATATTTCATTCGTAAAAGTTTCTGTGATGTCCACTACGTCTCTTCTGATGATGACATGTGAAGGAGTCCCCACTTTATGACACAGTCCAGTAAACACCGACTCTGACAAACGCTGCATTCCGGACTCGCTGGAGGAAATAAAAATAAATCTAAACGTAGCATTAATTTACCCTCCATCCACTGCACACAAGAGTTATTAATCCATGGTATTTTATGCATTTAGTGTAATTTGCCCTTCAATGGTCTAATAATTGACATAGACATCTTCAGAGAAATATATCTTAGTTTGTAGTCAATTTATAAGTCAATTTATAAACATCCTTAACAATTTAATATTTCCATTTCTATTTTTTTTTCTGTGATAACTTTTTGAAAAATCTTCTTCTCGATAAATGTTTGTTTCTTTTTTCGAATGAGGAGTCACATTTTTCTTTCTTTTTAAGGGGAAATAATGAAAAAAATAAAATTGGGTAGGTTTAGTTAAAAATTTCCTAAGAAACATAAGGCTAGAAAAAAATGATCGAACTTGTGTTAAGGTAGGATTCTTCTCTGGTTTCTGACTTGATGGAATATTCAAAGTACATTTGTTGATATGTCTTATATATCTAGATGTAAGAGATTTAAAAGACCATATTTTTATTATACAACTTTAAATGGATATGGTAAACTGTGTTTGAAAACTAGCAGGGACTATATTTTTGGCAGAATGGTGGCGTATGAAAATATTTTCTTTTCTGCCTCTAAAAAATTATTATAGAACATTCAATTTAGTTATAATTTTTACACAATCAAAGACTAGACGAAATTTTCAAATGTAAGTTAATTTAACCCCTTCCATGGCAAAGATTTTAGAATGTTTAGTATTTCTTGAATTGTTTGTGTATACCAATGTACATTGGTATATACAAACAGTTCAAGAAATACTAAAACAATGCATTGAAATCTTAATATCAGTTTGTCTAGAAATTCTAAAATTAATTGAATAAATGGAAATTCCAGTATGATTATGGTTTATTTCGTTGGCATGGCAACTGAAATGATATTTTTATAACCATTTTCAGAAACTGCTCAATACCTGCTTTCAGTATATATATATATATATATATATATATATATATATATATATATATATATATATATATATATATATATATATATATATATATATATATATATATATATATATTAAATTAGTTTAAGAGTTGTTGTAATTTGTGCTTTATAAATAAAATTAATTTCATCACAACATGTATTGGTAACAATCCTCTAAAAACTAATGTCCAAATAACTGTATCTCACTTCCATTCTCAATGACCGTGTAGTGTAGGGCAGCGTTGTGAGAATTCCATCGGCATCGAAAGCAAGTTTTTTAACTTGCCTAGATAGCCGAGCGGTCTAACGCGCTGTTCCTATACTGCTAGGAGACAGATTCCGTAGGTCGCGAGTTCAACCCCGGGCTGGGGCGGAAGTGAGTATCCTTGTAAAAGTGAATTTCTCTGTGCTTTCTATATTAATATTCCTTCACTTAGGGCAGTTAAATTAGTTTAAGAGTTGTTGTAATTTGTGCTTTATAAATAAAATTAATTTCATCACAACATGTATTGGTAACAATCCTCTAAAAACTAATGTCCAAATAACTGTATCTCACTTCCATTCTCAATGACCGTGTAGTGTAGGGCAGCGTTGTGAGAATTCCATCGGCATCGAAAGCAAGTTTTTTAACTTGCCTAGATAGCCGAGCGGTCTAACGCGCTGTTCCTATACTGCTAGGAGACAGATTCCGTAGGTCGCGAGTTCAACCCCGGGCTGGGGCGGAAGTGAGTATCCTTGTAAAAGTGAATTTCTCTGTGCTTTCTATATTAATATTCCTTCACTTAGGGCAGTTAAATTAGTTTAAGAGTTGTTGTAATTTGTGCTTTATAAATAAAATTAATTTCATCACAACATGTATTGGTAACAATCCTCTAAAAACTAATGTCCAAATAACTGTATCTCACTTCCATTCTCAATGACCGTGTAGTGTAGGGCAGCGTTGTGAGAATTCCATCGGCATCGAAAGCAAGTTTTTTAACTTGCCTAGATAGCCGAGCGGTCTAACGCGCTGTTCCTATACTGCTAGGAGACAGATTCCGTAGGTCGCGAGTTCAACCCCGGGCTGGGGCGGAAGTGAGTATCCTTGTAAAAGTGAATTTCTCTGTGCTTTCTATATATATATATATATATATATATACTGAAAGCAGGTATTGTACATTGGAGTGGTGGTCTTGCGCGACATCGGATGGCGGCACCGAGGCGAAGAAAATGAGTTTCATTCTAGTTTTTTTGCTTAGCTAAATATATCAAAAAATATTTTATTGTTGTGTTGAAAATTATGAGCATATTGTACATTTTTTCACCAACCAATTTTAAGTATTTTGAGGGGATGGGGTGGGGAGGTTATCACCAGAATTTAGCATTTTTACACATTACGTGTATTGAGTTACGTGTATTGAGTTCGATAATGGCAAAATCGCTCAAATTGTGCGCAAAGTTTAACTCAAGCTAGCAAAAAACTGGTACGACCAATTAAATACATTTCTGTAGATTATTTCATCGTAATTATTTTCTCTTTCCAACGGTGCAAGATTTATTCTGATATTTGTAGTTTTAATGAAGTTATGAATATTTTTTCACACTATACTCGTTTTTTAAGTCAGAGGCGTAGAAATGCGTATATGCCATGTACAAATAAGGGACTAAAGTTTCAAAATATATCAAATAAAAAGACGTTGCGCACGGTGTTGGTGTCAGTTTCGGTAACGTCAAAATGACATTATTTTACGTAAAGTTCTAAAAAAAATTATTCGACGTTACTTTTTTGCTAACATTTTTATGCAGAAAAAATAAAAACCCAGTAATGACGCCAATTAAATAATTCAAGTAATTGAAAACACATGTAATTAAATTCTCTGCACCCTTTTGCATGTATATTGCGGGAGGAAAATATACGCATGGTTTGCCTCATTAAAAAAAATGGTAGAAATAACGAAACTTGTTCTTCAACGCATTTTAAATTTACATGCTTTTTATTTTATTGAGATAAATTCAAAACAATTCTATATGATATCATATCAGTAGGCCCTAGAACCTGTCCTTTGTTTTCAGTAAATTGTACGATTGTAGATATGTTGCTGATTTCGCATTGAATTATTTTTTTCCTATCTTATCTTGTATTGAAAATCTGATACATTTTTACTCACCTCCGACAACCCCATATACCCTTATTCAATATTGGCCTATTCAATGTAAACTCGCCGTGTTTAGAACAGTTTATACCAGCATAAAATAGAGTTGACACACTTTACTGTGAGTTTATTCATATTTGAAATCATATCCTTGCATAAATTTTTGTTTGTGTGATTTTTTTTCTCGTGTCTTAATTCGAACTCTGTCTGAATGGTACTTTTGTACAGATTCTGACAAGGATATATACCGATACAGTGTACAAGTATACACTGCACATGTTTTACTTTTATATATAAATACAACTTTTAAAACTTAAATTATTCTTCTAATTAATCATTATTGGTATGTTTTTCTTTTATCCATATCAGGCTCATCAGCAACAAAAGCGTAAGTTTTGGAGAGAGAAAAATATTTTGACACTTTACATAACATTTTATGCATTGAAACTAATAACGTCATTATTACGCCAAATTTTTACGTCTGTGACAATTATGTTGACGTTTAATTTTTCTTAGGATTTTGTCACCATTCTATTGAAATTATTTTGGAATATACCAATAACTTTTTGAAAAGATGCACATTTCATAAAAATCCTTTGATTTTCAATATGTCTATTTTCAATGACTACACATATGATCAATGTTACCACATTTGTACAATTATAGTTAGATTTGTTACTTTTGGACAATGTGTGACATTTATGTTGACTTTGTAAAAAGCCTTTAAAACAAACACTTCTTTATAGAATCAATTCATTTTCATATCTAAATAAAGTTTTGATTTTGCACATTTTGTATTTAACTATGTTTGGTGCCAAATTAAAAAAAATAATTCTTAAAATGTAGGCCATTGCTGGAGTATAGCATATAAACGTGACGTTTTTGCCGTTAAATTCAATTGTGACGTATAGCTACATGTAGTACATATATGTAACACGGCAATTATTATTAAAATTTAAGGTACCGCAAGTTAAAATTCTGTCTAGAGATCTTTTCTTTAATAACATGGCAACATTTTGTAGAATTTAAAATAATTTTCAACATCAATTTTTCATCCAGAATTACAAAATTTGCCATATTACGAATCTTAAAAACTTTGCGACATTGAACCTCCAAACTTTGTGACACACCATCTTAGTCAATGGCCCCATAATAAATCGGCTTAATATCAGAAACCCAACATACATATCGACACAAAATATCAGTCTAATTTAAAATATAGTTCCTTGCACACAAAAAGGATCATTGACATGCCATTTCAAAATTGATTTTGCTCATGAAATTATTTTTTAAAGTTACCGATGACATTTCATGTTCCTTCCATATTTCTTCGGATAACGCTTATCTACATCGCTGTCTTGCATTTTGAACAACGCGTTCACAGCATTCGGATTGAACAACATCACAATTGTAAAACTTTAAATCATTTACATCATATTTTGAACTTTTCTGCTAAATTTTATGTTTGTATTGTTTGTTTTATGGAAATTATCAACATTTTCTTATTGCGTGTGCGACGCTCCTGTTACCGATCTACATGCGTTTTTGACGTAATTAATTGAATAGTCGAATTAATATATTTGATAAATGGAAGTTTTCAATCAATTTTTTTGTTAAAATGTATTTAGTATACAATTACCGACCGAATGATATATAGTTTTCATATAGTGAATTGTTTAAAATCATGGAAATAGCGCAAATGCCGCCGCAATAGTAATTTTCGACATTTTGACACCAACACCGTGCGCGACGTCATAAGATTTTTCACACATACTAGAACTATGAATTTATGTTGACTGTTAAATGCTTCAAGTCTAAGTACAGATTTGAGCCAAAAATCCGTAAAAAGTGTTATTTCTCTCCTAGTAAACGATCAAAACTTTAGTTTTTGTAT